CATACACGACATAGTCGTGAGATGCAAGAAACATAGACATATGGCAAGAAATCCCATAACAACAAAAGACAATACTTTATTGAACCTTTTCTGATAAGAAGTGTGCGCTGCAAACGCGAGCATTTTTGACGATCGTTTCTGTCCAGTCTGCTCGTTTTATCGCGTTTAACCACAGCTGTCGTCGTTTTTTTTTTGTCTGGCAGTGGCAGCAGATATGCGATCAAATTTCTAATTTGAGGCTGTATTATGTCGATTCTGGCACCCAACATCACAACAAGATGATATTTTAAGCTCCTTATGTAGCCGAATCTGCGCTGGTTTGAATGGGCTGCCTCCAGTTTCCCCTTTGTTTTGCTGTCTCCAGCTAGCCCTGTGACATTGGCTGACCCTAGTTACCTGTGGATGGCCTGGCCATGCCTCACTCAGAAAACAACAGGCCAGTCAGAAGAGAGGCTCATGAATATTAATTAGACAGGCCAAAATCGACCTGTTCTCAGCAGAGCTCCTGAGAAAGGAGCTGTAAAAATATATTGAGATGGTTTTTGGTACTTATACCGCAAATATATATTCTTAAGGACATCAAAACCTAAAATAAAACTCCAGAAAGGTGTAAAATATGGGACCTTTAAAACAAACCAACAAACAAGTTTCCACAAACGTGTATTTAAAAATTACTTTTATTTTGAGAAACAATCTGAGGATTAAAAATACATTTTGCACTGGGCTGTATTTTTTGTAACATTCAAACAGTTATCACAAATCTGACATAAACTCTATCATTAAACTTTGACTTGTACACAGCCAACCTGGAACAAAACGAGAGCACAGCCACAAACAACACACCGCACAGAAGCTCAATTTTAACTTTGATCTTACAAGGCCTTACAAAACATACAGCCTTTTTTGCAATGTAAAACATATTAAAAAATTACTGTTTCTTTACTCTAATACAAATGGTGGGTAAGTTACAAATCAGTTTAACAACGTTGTTTGCACTGCGCTCCTGCGTTACTTGATCTTTTTATTTTGGTGCGTCAATCTGTTGAGTTACTTAGTATAAGAAATTATGATCTGCACTCACGAGAACAATCTTCTTTTTTCTTTTATTTTACATTCATTACTGATGGGAAAAGACACAAACGTTTCGGCTCAAAGCCTTCCTCAGTGGTAAAGCAATTCAATCCCTCCACCCACTTTTCAAATCACTAATTATATTGACGTCAACATTAATTAGCCAATGTTCAATTACCACAATCATTAAATAATTTCCACTTAAACCCTGGACAATTTACATATATATATCCAACACAACACGTCACATCCACTAGTACACCTCACAATATACCCGTGACTAAAACAATAGTTGTTTAGGATCACATATTTATCACCATTATACAAACTTATAGTTTATCCTATCAATCATCAATATCTACTCCACCAATTAACTTTAAATTGTATAACAATGGAAAATTCAATAATTAAGAACATCAGAAATACATCGTCATAAACAATCATTGTTTTTCACACTGTAAATACTCAATTTATTATATAAAATATTAAAAATGAATACGTTCAACCATAGTTCATTAAAGAAAGACAGAAAGATCTAATTCCTCATTCATACCATTTGGGTTCAGTGATTTAAGTTTATGAATCCAAAATGCTTCTCGTTTCAATAGTTCTTTATTTATATTACCTCCTCTACGTGACCCAAAAACTTCCTCCATTCCTATACATTCCAATTGCTTGATGTCATGTCCCAATTCGTTAAAATGTCTCGCTACTGGAGAGGTTATGTCTTGTCGTCGTATACTAGATTTATGTTCATTAATTCTTAATTTCAACTGACGCAAAGATTTTCCTATATATATCTTTTGACAGGGACATTTTAACATATAGATCACATTACGAGTTGAACAGGTAATACAAGATGTGATTTTAAAACATTTCCGTGTTACTGGACATATAAACTCTTTACACTTGACCAAATTCTTGCAAGCGGCACAGTTTCTACACGGGAAACAGCCTTGTATATAAGCAGACTTTTTCCTCCTTACTACATCCGAGTTTACCATCATATCTGACAGATTTCGTAAAGAGTTTATATGTCCAGTCCAGTTTATATGTCTTTCTTTAATGAACTATGGTTGGTCGTATTCATTTTTAATATTCTATATAATAAATTGAGTATTTACAGTGTGAAAAACAATGATTGTTTATGACGATGTATTTCTGATGTTCTTAATTATTGAATTTTCCATTGTTATACAATTTAAAGTTAATTGGATGCTTTACACACTGAGGAAGGCTTTGAGCCGAAACGTTTATGTCTTTTCCCATCAGTAATGAATGTAAAATAAAAGAAAAAAAGAAGATTGTTCTCGTGAGTGCGGATCATAATTTCCTATACTAAGTTACAAATCAGGCAATTATTATTTCCTCAAAACACTAGGGTTGGAACTGAATGGCAAGTGTAAAATTTGTGTCATTTCCAATCAAGCTTTAATTTTTGTAAAGAATGTTATTTAATAGTGTGTTTTTAGGATACATAAAATGCTATGAAATTAGCTTTAGCATGAAAAAGGATTCCATAGATTGGATTCCATAAATGTTTAAAATGTAATTTCCATTACAGAATGTTATTAAACTTAATTAATGTTATTAAAAACATAATTTGAGATGTGATAGAAATTACACTGTTTACATGACATGACGTTTCAGTAATATGACAATGCATGTATTGTAAGTCCACTGCTAGACATAGTTAGTGGGCAAATTGAATAAACTGAGTGTAAAAAGTGTGTTTTAAGATATTTTATTTTCTCCACAGTGCCAAAGGAGCCCACAGTTAAAGAAACACACGTTTGATTGATAGGTCTGTATTCTGTGTGCTCCTTATCAAGCAAGTCTGCAGCTACTTTAGGCAACTAATTTGGCTTATGTTAAAATCTGTCATTCCCAAATGTGTTGGTGACAGAGCAAACAGTTTGGTTGCAAATGGAATTACATTCCAACACACTAATGTCAAAATCTGAAAGTCCATTAAACAGTTAAAAACATTCTTTAGGTTTCATAAATGATTTCACAGCTAGCCCAGTTTATTCAGTGCACAATCTCAAAGTCCAAACATAAGGCATTCCAAGCATATACAAACATGTTCAATGTGCACTGAAAACCTACATAACAGCTATTAAAATACTTAGTGCTGGGCGGTATGACCAAAAATTTATATCACGGTATTTTTAAAAATTATACCGGTTTCACTGTACATGACGGTATTTTTTTTCCCATGCATGACCGGGTGTTAACCATATTTTCTACTGATTGAGAGAGAAAATACTGCAGTATATTGACTTAGAATGCCCTAGTGTACTGTCATGATGAGTGAATATTGTCAAAAAATACCACACTAAATAGTGACTAAACACGACCCCTTTTAATACATGTTAACCAGGAGTCACTCTCATTTATAATCGCGGCATCGTCTGATAAAATCAACATGCATCTACACTAGAGAGCGGCTATGCGGTTGTTTTGGCTATATTACTTTTTTGTCTCATGCAGCGCACTGCCTGCGTCTGAGTAACAAACTAAAAAAAACAACAAACAAAAAAGTGCATGTGATATTAACAGACGAACTACGCTCATATTTATAATTCCAAACAATCAGTAAGCGACAGGTGCTAGGAAACGCTGTTTTGTACTCATTTATTGACGTGTCGGCTGCGGTGCGGCCAACTGAATGCGCTGCTTCTCTATCGCTCACTGCACAGAACAGACGCCGAAAGAGGTGACACTTCTCCGGGAAAGTCAGACCTTGCGTTTGCGGGACAGCACTGGCGAAATCTTCCAACAGAACCATAGCTAAGGTTTATCCAAAAAAGTCGCTAGGTTTGTCAGTATGAATATTCTATGGAAAAAAAGCCGCTAAAAGGGTCTGAAAGTTGCTAAATCTAGTGCTAAGTCGGCGCTCGTGTGTGTGTGAGACGCGGGAGCTGATGGCAGGGGGCAGTGGATATTT